GCGGAAGTGTTGACCCAAGACAGAAATACGGCCTGTATCTTGCCCTGCAGAGCAGACCTTCCCCTCCTGCTACCTCTGAAACATCTGTATTAGTCCCCATGAGTCTGTGAGCCTTCAGGATCACCGGAAGGAATGAAATTCCATCAAGGCATTGCAGTGTTGCTGTCAGATCACATGCAACATCCGGTGATGGTCTACACGGAACTGATGGAGCAGAGGACAGACCTGCATCTCACGACCACACGCCTCCAGTAACATCATTGAGCACTGGCCCATAAAAGAACATCAACGTTCATCGATCATCACTCGTCTTGAATTGTACCAACATGCATAATGACAAAAATTGTATAAGTATCATGATGTATTGGATCTCTGTATTAGAGAAAGCCTACCTTTAGTCAACTCGATCATTGGTTCAGGCTGTGAAGGGGTGGAGTGTATGGGAACTGCTGAACCACAGCCTAAACCTCTGATTGACCACCTGAGGCGAGCAATGAGTCAGCCACAGGAGCACAGGTGAAGCTAATTCACCTGTGCTGCCAGAAGGGGTGGAGCCTGGCTGCACCTCTCCTAGACCCCATTTAAGAGCTACCAATGGGGAAGGATCTCTTCTGGAGATTCCTCCTCTTGGAGTCTTCTCAGTGAGCCCAGGATAAGGGTAAGCTTTCCATCCATTCGTTTTTAGTGTGATAACTTGTCTAGCCTAACATTCTTGTGTATTTCTTAATTATTACATCTGTATATTCATCAATTATACAGTGCTTATGTTTTAATTGCATCTATAGAATATTCCTGCTGGCTTAATGATCACTAACAATTAGGAGTAGAATTGTTTGGAGATTTATTTTATTGCTGTCCAGGTGAGCTGTAGTGCTCCCCAAGCACTAGTCTATCCTTCAGACAAGATGTTTCCTCCTCTGAGCCATATGTTCCAGCCATCTCTTTTATTTACTAAGAAAGAAATCCTGCAGTTAACAGGATTTATAACTACTGCACTTCTAGGAAAGGCTTTTTCCTTCCTATCACAAACAATGTCAGTTCTCAAATTTGGGGACTGCAAGAAGAGAAAGTCCTGTGAAAGATAAATGCCTTGTTTTCTAGGACTACTATCCTGAAACCATTTCTCCTCTTCATTTGAATACTCCTTCTTCTTGTTGTTACTATCATAGGAAACGCATTATTTCCTGCATTTATGCCTGTTGTCTTTTTTCTTATTGATCTCACCGTGCTGTCAAGCTTATTCTCAAAGCATATTTAGAAAAAAAAAAAAACAACTAAGGAGGACTTAAAAGAGGTGATGACTATAAAAAGACAATACTTGTGGAGCTCCTAACCTGTCAGTTTGCAGGCAGTAGCCATCAAGTCATAAAAATATGGAAATATCTATGGCTCGGAGCATGAAAATCAACATATGTAGTCATCATGGGGTTTTTTTTGGAGGATAGGCTAAACAAACTCTGTCACTTCTGCCTTGCACTGGAACCCGCTTTCTCTTTTAGGGATCACTCTGCCGTTTCCTATTAGCGTTAGCAGCGCTCCGAATTGCAAAACCTTCAGATTAACGTGCCGAATCCTGTCATTTTTCCCACAGGCTGTCTGGCAATGATAATCCACTAAAGGATTGTTTCATCCGAGTGGCGGTGTCCAAGTCAAACGCTGGCAACAGGCAGGGGAACCCAAACCTGTTGAGGCAGACTTCTGCTGCCATGTGAGGAATCGGAGTGACAGGCTGCAGGGGCGGGAGGCAAGGGACACGCTGTGCCCACACAGGGCGAGTCCATGGGCTGTGCCCGTGATGGAAGACCGCGACTGCCATCATGATAGCTGCAAGTTTGTGGGCCACGATGCCGATCCTGGTCAGAGCGGGCCTGGGGCTGCGCTTGTTGGAGCAGTGCCTTGTCAGATTAGCCATACGGCTGCTGTGTGCGATTCTCAACCCGGACAGACAGGCCTGCCAGGCAGAAACTGCTCAGGCAGATGATGCTGGGGAGGACAAAAATTATCCACTGCAAGACTAAGAAGACAGATGACACCCAGCAGGAATGGCGAGCCAAATCTGCAGAATCCACAATACAGCTGGCTAGCCCTAGGCTACCTGCCTCTTTGAAGTGGAAGAGACATCACCGATGAGCTGTCAAATTAGATCACCAGCCTGGAAACGCTGAAAGAGATTTAGTTCTTCCAGCAGAGAAGGGGAAGTGTAATAGATGAAAATCTTCCTAAAGGGGCCAAGGTAATGTGGGAGGGGAAGGGGGAATCCTGAACATGCAACAACAATGAAAAATTACTAGCCTCTCTCCTGCCTGCATTGGAAAGATGAAGTTGGCTGCGTTACATGGCAGCAGGAATCACTGTAGTCACTACCAGCACGGGAAATAAGGGCGATGCCTGCAGGAATGTGCACATAGCAGCAACAAGTAAGTGTTTCTATAAAATCAAATTCCTTCCCAGATCAGTGATGTCTTTATATGTCACCCCAGAGCTGGGATCTAGAGTAGTATAAATTTAATATTCAAAACGTGCCACAGAGGGATGCAAAGACCCCAATCTAACACTAAAAGCTCAGTGCAGCAGAGGCACACGATGGCAACTCCCCCCTGCTTTCTTCTCCAATAGCACTTGCTAGTATTGGTGCACAGAAGATGCAAGGAATGCAGTTCAGTTTTGATGGATCAAAACCAAAAATTAAGATTGCCAAGTGCACAAGCATATATTCAGGTGCATGGTGAATGTGACACCTGACCCTTTCATTAGGGTAGGGATGGCAACAGCATGATCTAATTGTACATTCAAGGAAGAAATACTGCTGTTGGTGAGGGGGAAGTATTAAATGTAGTAATCCATTAAACCATCCATCACTGCAAATATACTTTGAATTTAAAAGACCATGAAACACACTAAAGATTAAAAGTAATGATAAAACTGAAAACAAAACAAAAAAAAAAAAAATTAAGCCTACAAATCCCTCCTCCTAATTTCAACTCCAGCAAAACAACAACAAAATTCCTTAATAGGTGTAAACATACAACTTTAAAATCAATATACGTTCATATTAAGGCAAACTTATTTGGAGAAAAATTACAATAACCTATTCCCTGCTTGAGCATTCATGTAGCAGACAAACCACAATTCAACTGCAGAGATTCAAACACAAGATGCTAACAGATCAGAGAATATTATCCAAACTAGACCTCTGGATACAAGAGCTTACATAGGATTTTTTTAGTATATAACAATTTGGATAGGTGTATCTCTTCCTTCATTGTTATTTCTCTCAACTAATCCCTTTCTAAGTACCTTGCCCTACTCTTCTGCAAAGCCACAGCATCAAGGAATGGAGTTTTGGTTATCTATTGCATTTTAACCAAGAGGAGATTAAAGAAGCTCAAGTTGTAGAGCAATCTTTATCTCTGGCTTTTACTAGAGTGTATTGAATTTCAAGGATAGAACCACATCAACACTTCAAAGTTACATTTTCATATATATATTTCAAAATAGTTAATATACATGAACATCTTTGAATTACAGAGTACTCATGTCTGTTTTAAACTTGTCTCAACTCACTGCTGACAACTTGGGATCCACACCCATGCTTACTAATCTGTTACTCTTCCATCAGCTGTACATATAGTAAACTTTCTCAGTATGTGCGCGAAGAGAGAAAGAGAAAAATCATGTTGTCAATATATACTCCAGTAAGCTATGACATCTGTTGGGAAGGTTAGGATGCAACTTAAATAATAAGTCTCCCATTTTTAGGGCTATATTCTTCCAAAGTATTGGAAATTAGCAAATTCCTGGGAGAGGAGATATTTCAATTTCAAAATACTTAGAGGGTGGTGTAGCCTATGGAGGACTACAAGAGAAAATGGACTAAAAGGATGTGAAAATATTACCTCTTACAGGCTACCAGCTAGGATATGTCAGCATCCAGGTTTTATGCATTTTACCCAAGGAATCACTGACAACTCAGTTGATTCCAAGAGGTTTGCACCTACTCAGAGTGGGCAGTGAAGACAAGTAACAGAACTTGTTTGACTCAACCAACTTCTGCTGTTAACCTCAAGCAATGCCTACATTATCTGCCTGCCTCATAGGTAAACCACTGATAATACAAAGAACTTGAAAAAGAAAACAAACATATTACACGCTGAAGCTATTATCAAAATTTTCTTTAGTTTTGATTCTGAAGGATGCAGATTTCAGTTTATCTGAATGGCCAGGTTTTCTGTTTGTTTTGTACCTTACTGTAGCGCAGACCCTCTTGAACTGCTCATTCCTACCAACTCTTCTATATAGCCTTCCTATATTAAATCCAAATTTTTCCGTAAATCACCATTGACCAATTTTAAGTCTATGCAAGAACTGCCCTTAGATGCTTCTGCAGTTCAGCTGAACTCTGACTTCTCACTTAAAGTTACTCATGCAAAGGCAGGTAACAATCATCAGTCTGTTGTTGATCTATCCAACACAACACTTGAAAGTCTGTTTGAACACGGCTTGCTTGTGAGTGATGCCCATCCCAGTATTGAGGTGAAAAAGACAAGCCAAAGAGGGGAAGTGTAAGATTCCACTGAACACTTACAATTATCCTATTTATTTCACTGCTGAATTCTTCCATTGCTGAAAGGTTGTCACGCAGTACTATCTCACCATATGGCAACAACCTCAAGTCCTAGAGGCACATACTTAAAAGACCATAACATGTCAGGGCCCCTTGAATAAATTAAATAGAACAATTATGCAAAATAATAATACTGCAATGATGAGATACATTAACAAATGAGACTGTCACTGTTCATGAAACGCCATGAAAATAAATTCCACACATCACTGTGGTCATCATCATCATCAAACTGTGAAGCAACAGAAGTAAAACAACATCACAGTATTTACTGTGCCCTTCAGCAACAGAAATTTTCTGAAAAAAGAAGAGGTTGCAAGGGAAGGAAGTCACTTCTAGCAATATTCAATAAGGGTATAACAAACTATCACAGAAATAGACTAGCAAGGGTTGTTTTTGTTGTTATTTAAGAAAACAAAACAAAACCCCCACAATAGCATGAGTGCTTACCCACGCTCTCTTTAGGTGGAGCGTCAGCATTCATCTGACAGAGCTGAAGCACGTTACAACTCAGTGGTAAACAACATGAAGCTTCATCTTAAAAACCTACCTCAAACAACTTTAGGCCAAGGTACGTTTTCATATTTACTTTCATTAATTTTATTACATACTCAGTGTCTAAGATCAAAAGGTATTAGACAGAAAGAGGTAGCATGGAGGAAATCAATACCATCTGGTTTTCTCAGTGTTCTCTCTGAAGCAAAATGTCTCAATTCATCTTTCTTTGCTTTTAACTCTCTATTCCACTTATCAACTAATCTACATAGGGGAGTGAAAACTGAAATGCTTGAGCTAGCATATGACAGTCACCAAATGTACTTCTGTCAGCACAGATCCAGATTTTACTAATCCCTTCTAAACATTTCATGCTTGGTTTTTATTTTTTATTTAATTATTTCAGCAGCAATCTACACTTCTGTTTTACATCAGAGAAAATAAGAGGCTAGGATACTGAAGTCAAAGCATGTAGCAACGTAGAGAAATCCTGACACTTCAACACAGCAGCTGTTTGGGCAAACAAACACCTCAACACCAAAACAAACACCTTATGCCCACCGTGTTCTGTGGCACAGTGACCCAACAACATGTTTCAACTGACAACAGTCTCTTTGGTTTTAAAGCAAACTTTTAAAAACAAGAAGCGAGAGTGGAAGAGCAGCACATCATTATCTCAAGTACCTCCTTCCCCATCTTTTTTAGGACCCTGAAATGTGCAGTCTTTCTTCTGTGGAAATAACATGAAATGACAGCATATGCAGAATCTCGATAAATGCTAATATTGTTGACTATTGTCATAAATGCTAATAAATAAGTGATAAATGCTAATATTGCTAAATATTGTGAAAGAAAATGCTTCTGGATTCTACATCAAAGTCCATAAAATGAAGTAGCATGTGAACTTTTATTTTTTTTTAATAAACTACAGACTTCCACAGCCAAATTAAGACTACAGTTTTAAAATAATTTATTCAGTCACATAAATACTTTGTAACATTTTCATGTTCCCTTTTTCACATCATTGGCACACAATATAGCTCTTAACTTTTACAAAACTAGTGTAAACATTCATGGAAAATAAAATGAAAAGAGGGACATACGCAGAAACTCAATAAATAGTAAAATGAGTGTGTAGTCAAAGGAAAAGAAGTAATTCTCTCCTACAAAGACCATGTAATTACAGTTGAACGCTTAACTAAAAGAACATTTCATCTTTAAAAAATAGTGAATTAAAACTCAATTCCCATCTTTCTGCCATTGTTGCATTTAATCAGATACATGATAAAATTCTGTAGCCAGTTCAAATTCTTGAACAAAGAATAACAATTCAATGGAACTGTATTACTTGAGGCATCACCAGTTTTGGTTCACATAGAGAAGCTTACAAACCAGTATTTGCAAGGCAGTGGTTTTGGACAATGCAACTTCTAGACTCCCAAATACCACTCTGACACAGTATTAAAATTCTCCTTAATGAGCATTAGTATATAATCTGTTCTTGATAAAGACGACATTAGTCAGATGTTGTCGGACACCTGGATAATGCTGAATGTGGTTGAACCAGCGAGATACATTAAGGTAAATCTCCTTTTCTTGCACAGTGAGGTCCACCTGTGTGGGGAAGAAAGAAAATTGCATTATGAATATTATGAAACGTGGTGAGAAAAAAGAAGTGCAAAGCTTTACGGCTGATTTCAACTCGCAAAAGAGTTGTTGCTGTCCAGCAGCGTTCTGCCTCCATTTCACAGATAAAGATTCACAGCCCAAAACACGTGTTTATTTCCTCAAATGAACACATCTGCAGAATGGAATATTCATTTGTATGACATACTTGGAGGTGGGGGAAAGGGTGTTAGCTTGCTTGAATTTAACCAGTCTACGAATCCATGTAACACCGAGGAGCAGGGGAGAGTTCCTGAACTTGCATAAGTCTTGTGCCCTCCTCTCATTCAGCAGGTGGTCTCGCCTCACTGGCCAGGGGCAAAGTGTATTAGAAGTTCAGGAATACATTTTTTCAGGCCATTTCATACTGCATAGGAAAGAGGAATGTTGTTTTCCTCTTTGAGCAATAGTTCTACAGTAGTTACCAAGAAACAACACAGCACAGGGCTTCACAGTACAGGAAGGACATGGAGCTCTTGGGGTGGGTCCAGAGGAGGGCCACTAAGATGAGCAGTGGGCTGGAGCACCTCTCTATCAGGAAAGATTGAGGGAACTGGGCTTGTTTAGCTTGGAAAAGAGAAGGCTCCGGGGAGACCTCATTGTGGCCTTCCAGTAGTTGAAGGGAGCTTATGAACAGGAGGAGGAACGGCTGTTTGTGAGGGTGGACAGTGATAGGACAAGGGGGAATGGTTTTAAACTGAGACAGGGGAGGTTTAGGTTAGATATTAGGAGGAAGTTTTTTCACACAGAGGATGGTGATGGTGATGCACTGGAACAGGTTGCCCAAGGAGGTTGTGGATGCCCCATCCCTAAAGGCATTCAAGGCCAGGCTGGATGTGGCTCTGGGCAGCCTGGTCTGCTGGTTGGTGACCCTGCACATAGCAGGGAGTTGGAACTAGGTGATCACCGTGGTCCTTTTCAACCCAGGCCATGCTATGATTCTGTGATTCACTGTTCAAATGTGCTATCTAGCTTTATTAGGAAGGCAATTATTATGTTAAAATAAAATGAAAGATGTCTGTATTTCATAAAAGTATTGAAATTTTTATTCCTTACTCCTATAGTTATTTCTGTCATTCCCAAACTTTCAAGTCAGTATCAGTCGTGTGTTCAGTGTAACTCAGAGTTAAACAGCCACAAGAAGAGCCAGGATTATACAGCTACTCCAACAGCTCCTTGCCACTGCAATACTGGGTAACAGTTATGAAGAGCTTCCGGGCTAGTTTTATCATAGTACTGACCAAGCAAAGTCATTTATGATTACATGTAATCTATACTATTCAAAGTCTTCTTAATTAAAACAAGCAAAATCCTTAAGATTCTCTTTTAAGACTTATTACTTCAGTTTATTTCAAGCAGGCAGTAGAACTAACTGCTTCCATACTGTATCACCTGTATTACCTTGCCTTGATTACTACTTCCGCATCTCATTCCTCTGGAACCAAGTTAGTGTATCAATTTAGACAACAATCTGCTTTTTGTTTTACCTACTGTACTGAGTAAGCTTCAAAGCTATAAAACTATTGGGAACAAAACATGATCTTCATGTGAACTACCCTATCTCATCTCCCCACACAGCCACGTCGAATGGGGTTCACCTCACTTCAGTCAGCCATCAAGATGCACTGATTCACCTCCATGCCTGCAGTTCTAGCTGAGCTAAAAACTTAACAGAGCTTTATTAGGAAAAGAACAATACTGGTAAGATGAACATCTTGTTACAGACAGAGGCGTTACAAACTAAAAGTGGGAGCTATTAAAATGTAACACTGACTGCTTTTTTAATTAAGATACTTGATAAGTTGCCTGAGGTTCTTCAAGTGTGCTACACTCAGGACAAAATAAACACGCACTACCATTTAGAGGGAGATGCTTCTAATCACATGCAGTTTGTTGTAATTAATGACAGTGTGATGCCAGTGCTTGCTATGAAGCCGTAGAAGCATTTACAAAACAACACACAGTATGAAAAGAGCAACATACAGCCAAAAAATCATCTAAAACCAATAGTTATCCTCATTTGTAGTAAAGTATGAGCAGGTACTAAAAACACTAAGTTTGGTGAATAAGGTACACTAAGTATTACCATGAGTATTGTAATTAGAATACCCCATTTCCAACATCCATAGCGGGCAAGCACTTGGTTATAAGAGTGCTGAAAATAAACTTGAGATTTGGCAGGAGATACATTTCTTCTCCTCGAGATTTTATACTTTTAACTCTCCATCCTCACATTTCTTTGATATTATTCGAAAACAGTCTTATGAAAATAGTCCTCCTCCATTCTGTAAGTATACTGAAAAAACATCTGCATGGCTTCACAGGCAGGTTCTGTAAAAGTAAAACCCTTTCTACTTCAAGCACAGCATTCAAGATATCTTTGCTTATTTACATAATGTATTCTCAGTGAACTATATTAAAAAGCACTCTGTGGCACGCTCTATTTTTTACTCAGGACATAACTCTTAGGTTAATTGTTTAGAGATCAGTTCCATGGCGTTTTTACAACATTTTGTTAGATGGGTATTTTCTATTCTTCCTCATTAAATTAGATAATTCCCCCAAGTTAAGAAAGGCTGCTGTTCTGCTGGTAAAATAATTATTTGCTATTAAAGCAATTATTTCAATAGCAAAGAAGCAGACACTCAATTTGATGACTTTTTTTTTTTTTTTAAATTATGGGAAGAAAAAATAAAAAGCCTTACTCTTCTGCCACAAAGCTCACAAAGGATAATGAAAATGGGCATCACACAATGCAAACAGAAGAGTTTCTAGAAGGACCATAACTATACCAGCTTTAATTATATTTGCTTTCAGTAGCACTGGGGATGCAGACAAACTCCCATGCCTGTACCTGTATGTGCATGGGAAGTCTAGAAATACCTCTGTATATTTAGAGTTCTTCTGCATAAAGGACAGATACTACCAGTTTTTAATCTAGCCTTTAGATATGAAAATAGAGGTGAAAGTAGAAAACAAAACAGCCAAGTTCAGAATTCTGTAAGACACATTTCACATGGTCTTAACTCATTTTCTGCTGTTAGAGGAAAAGCTAAGAATCAAGGTACCTTTAAAATTTTTATTATTTTTTGCAAATTGAGGACTGTTAGCATAATTCTTTAGAATGAAAGCCTGTTATCCAGGTTCTAAGATAAGTAGTGTATCAGTGAATATTAAAAGAAATTATGGCAATCCATTAAATACTGGAAATCATCCCAGAATCATCCTAGAATGGCCTGAGTTGAAAAGGACCACAGTGATCACCTAGTTTCAACCTCCCCAATACATGTAGGGTCACCAACCACAACCTCCTTGGGCAACCTGTTCCAGTGCTTCACCACCCTCTGTGTGAAAAACTTCCTCCTAATATCCAACCTAAACCTCCCCTGTCTCAGTTTAAAACCATTCCCCCTTGTCCTATCACTGTCCACCCTCACAAACAGCCGTTCCCCCTCCTGTTTATAAGCTCCCTTCAAGCACTGAAGGCCACAATGAGGTCTCCCCAGAGCCTTCTCTTTTCCAAGCTAAACAAGCCCAGTTCCCTCAACCCTTCTTCATAGCAGAGGTGCTCCAGCCCTCTGATCATCTTGGTGGCCCTCCTCCAGACCAGATCCAAGAGCTCTACATCTTTCTTGTGCTTGTGGCCCCAGCAAATATTATCATGAAAAAAAAAAAACAAACAGGAAAAGAAATTATGAATGCAGTCTCATTATATTTCTACATTAGTAGTTCTGACTTGAGGAGCATAACTCACTTGGCTTGGTAATAGATTGTACTAGAATTGACCCCAAAATTTTGACGGAGGCTTCTATTTCTAGATACATAAATTTCACCCCAAGTTATTTTCCAGCACTCATTAAATAAATTTTAAATTCAGACATACAGATCTGATATGACTACTTTGGTTCTGCCTGAATTTACAAAGTAGAAAAAAAAAACTAAGTCAGATCAGCCTCTGTATTGATAATTTCTCTTAAACATTTTTAAATAAGACTTCACTAGTTTGGTTCTATTTACAAATTAAAACATAGGAAAAACTTTAAGAACAAGTTCATCACCACAGGGGAACTTAATGCTCACTGACTGCCTGAGTTATCTTCAAGCAGTGTTTCCTAATTCATATTTTCTTTGCAATCTGAGCTTTAACCTAGCAGAACTTCACTGCTGATCACATTCATCTACATAAACATTTGAGTAATCTGTGTGTCTAAAGACAAGAGTGTTTATACATACTAAGGTACATGGTTCAGAGGGAAAATATTGGTGGTTGGACTGCATGGTCTTGGAGGTCCTTTTCAACCTTGGTGATTCTGATTCTACATTAGACACACGGAGACATGGAATTACATATGACAGTGCAAGTCATGGCAATTTAAAAGAATCCATCTGAGAGCTAGCACCAAGCATTACACTTTTTGGGTATTTGAGACCTACATCATGATGCAGAACAATGTACACAGTTTACTTACTGCCTCGTTATTACCAGTGTATATTTCTAATTAAGAGACTTATTTTTTTTCCTCTACTAGTCTGCATGAAGAACAAAAAGATTCCCTTAGTGACCCTCACTCACTAAAATCCTAATTCCTTGGTCACTGCATGGATTTCTAGACATCTATTGTTGTGCTAAATAGAAAAGAACAAAAGAAAGGCACGCGACTGTAAGACTAAAAGTTGCTGTTAGTCTATTTGAATCAGGAATCAGTTTTTCCTATTGATTCTTCACTGACAAGAATATACAGTTTCCAGAACCCCACCTGGATAATGAGGGGTGCAAAGCAAAAGTGGAAGTGGGGAGGATTATAGAGATGTATTATCTATACACACAAACACTACTAAAAGAAGGTGGAGGAGTTAGTAGTAAAAGCAGGTGGTCTTAATTTAAACTGTTTCCAATATCACGTGCATGAGGTGGTTTCAAAACTTTTAATACTGCTCAGCTCATGCAGTGCAATCACAGTATGTCACAAGTACGTATTTTATAGAGCTATCTGTTACCCCATCAAAGACAGGGAGATTGGCCCTAAGGATCTTTATCAACAACCCTCTCAGATCCATAGACAACAAGAACATCTCTTATTTTAAGGGATTATCAAAGACAAAGTATTTTGCACGAGGCTTAGCTCAAACAGCAGTGGATATGAGGAACTGCTTCCTTGGAATGCACCACATCAAAAGATGGAGCAGCTTTCCCCTCCACCTAAGGCTTGAGGCACAGAAGCAGTTCTGAAAGTACTCTCTTCTCATTACAGGAAAAAAAAAAATAGTCACAGGATTCTACAGTTCAAGATAACTAAGTAGTTAATGGAAGTAAGATAACTACTTACTTGACTACTAACATTAATCAATTTTAAAGCCTTAAAAACATACACAATCTAGCTAATCCGTGGCAAGCAGCTTCTGATATTCCTCTATTGGAGAGCAACCCCATTATTTGCCCTTTATACCTTTCTGAGTCACAGAATTACCATCTTCTACAAAAATCAAGCACTTCAGAAGCAGATGTTGTACAATAAACTTGTCCCAACTAGCGTCTGCATGGTTGCAGGCACCCAGGAGCACTAAGTCATTTGTTTTTACCATCTGCTCTATTTCCCAAAGCAATAACTTGTGTCTTTTCTTCTTGATTAGGTGGTCTACTCTAGAGCAAACTCCAAATATAAAATACGCTTGATTTTCCCCAGCCTAAGGTTTTTTTTTTTAATGTCTCATTTGAGTTTGTATTTTCTTACACTACACAGTCATATTTTAAAAGTATTCTTACACATCTGTACTGCTATATAATATGGGAAAGGTAAGCATTTGACATATAAGTTAACACATCTATCCTTTACAAGGAAAATATGACTCAAGTATAACTTCAACATAAGATCTCTTTCATTTTTGGTTATATTTCATTACCTGATCTCTTCTCCCGCCTCCTCTCTTCAAAATCCCTTCTGTAGCACAGCATTCTAGTACTCTGCCTTTAATTGTGTAAACCAACAATTTAACTAGCTGAACCCTTTCCCCTGTTTCCTATTGTAAAACTCACTGACTTTATCCTCTTGAGACTTTGGCAGACTGGTTTGATTTGTTTAGCAGTGTTCACTCAAGAGAAGGAGCACTCACAATCACATTCCAGTTCCTCAAATACAACTAACTTCTATTTCTTCATGTTCAAATTACCTCTCGAGATTCAGAAGTGAGGTGGAACAATTTTTAAGCACTTCACAGTAAACGCCAAGCTACACATGAAGAACCTCTACATCATTCTCATTCAGTAAAACCCCTTGCTCCCCACTCCAAGTACCAGCTCCTCATGTTATTTCCATATTCAGTGTTATCAAGTCTTATCACTAAGTCTTGAAACACCAATGACCTTTTATCCTGGCTGACACTTGTATGCATTCATCCTTCAGGAACTTGACTAATGTGCATCTTCCATAGCACCAGTAGTACTTGTAACAATTTTAGTACTTTTAGCTCTGACAACTTTTAGTTTCATTTATCAGCTATCATATTGGGGCTGTGGATGCCCCGTCCCTGGAGGTGTTCAAGGCCAGGTTGGATGGGCGCTGGGCAGCCTGGTCTGGTATTAAATGGGGAGGTTGGTGGTCCTGCCAGTGGTGAAGGGGATGGAGCTTCATGATCCTTGAAGTCCCTTCCAACCTGGGCCATTCTGTGATTCCACGATTACCCCCATAGTTCTGCAAACAGACATGTTTCAGACCTGAACACATAAGATGCCTCATAGGTAGAAACAGAGGGACAGGTATCATTCTCATGTTATAGATAGGAAACTAAAGCAGTACAGACACGGTACTACAGATAAAACTTATTTTCACAGATCTATGGCTAAATGTAAAAAAGATTAAAAATGAACATTTATAGACAAATTATATTTGAAGATCTTTGGAAGAAATCTCATTTTTTTCCCCCCATAACTGTCATTGATTAATTCAGTAGATCAACTTGCACAGCAATAAATTGCCCTTCACGTAAACAAGCAATTACAATGACTGTACACACGTAAAAGTAATGCAAACAGTACTTACCATAACATGATGCAATCCGTAGTACATCAAAATATCTGCTAAGGTGAAACTGTTTCCTGCAAGGTAGACTTTATCTTCAAGGTGCGCATTAAGATCCTAAAATAATAATTGAATAAAATGATTACAGTGCTGATGTGGGTAGACAAAACACTAAGGCAGTTAAAAAAAAAAAAAAAGAGAAATTCCTCTGAGATCATACATGTACAATAAATGCCAGCTGCAATTTATTCAAACATAGAAAAGAAGACATACAAAGATGAAAAATTTTAAGCACTTCCTAAATACTTTCAAATCCATCTTTTCCAGGCTACAATTTACTGAAATAAAAAAAATAACCTAGAGTCATGCATTTTCTTGGCTAGCATGTATGACTCATAAGAACACCAATGCTTCAAAGAAACACTTAAATTACAAATACGCAACAAGTGAGGAAAACAAAGGTATGATGCGGTAGGAGGGGCATTTTAAGCTCCTGTCTGGAACTTGAAGCTAATTCGCTGCTTCCATTTGACCCCTGCTTTTATTAATGTTGAAATCACTGATAGCAATTCACAATCAATACTGTCAGTTCAGTCACTACAGAAGGCCATACAAAGGAGTACTGCTTCTGAACTTCACGTGTACCTCTCTTGCTCAGCAACTCCGTATTAGATGCTACAAGGCTGTGTAGCAGAGGGCTTCCATTTCAGTTCAATGAGTAAATAGTTCAAGTCTGTATTACTTAAGGACTCTTTAATATGCAATCATTCTCTGCAGGAAAACAGAAGGCTGATGTTTACTGTTGCTCAACTGCACTGCATCTGAAATTCAGGTACTGCCTGCCAGCTCTCTCTTCACCCATCCAGAAGTAGTACCCTCCATTTCACCATACCTTACCTACTTCTCATCCAAGTCACACATCTTTGCACCCTCTACCTCCCTCAGAAGAAAACTTAACAGCCAGCAGATTTACTCAGCTCTAATACTAAGGGCAAACTGGTTTTTATGATGTTCTTTCCTGAAAGGTAGGAAAACAGTTCCCTGCCTTTTCCTTGTATGTGGAAATTTCCTGCTAATGTTCCTCTGCTGGTTGGAAAACAAACAAGAAAACAAACAAACAAGCCTCTAGTAAATGCAACTTCCTCCTGGAAATAAAGGTAAGAAGCTTAAACAATGTTTTTCAAAGATCATGATTATCAGATCACGATTATTCAAGATTATCAGTCTCAACTACAGCTTGTTTCATTTTAAGGGAAGAATATGGGATATATTCATTACTGAAAGTAAAAAAAATAAATAGATTTAGCCTGAATTGCAATTCTAGCTCCATAATTCTGCTTTCTCAAACATGCAGACATATCCTACAGTGCATACACTTAAAAAGAAAAAAAGGGAAACATCTGACCATGCATTTAAGTATGGCAAGTTGGACTCCATTATGCAATGTTCTTTGGCAGCCTCTTTATGACAGGAGTCCTGTGCTTCCTAATATTTAAACATTCAAGTGTCTGCTTTGATTTACTTTTACTAGAGCAAATCAAAGAAAAATATTAACCCCTGCATAGTTCAGACTCTGTATGGTCATCTGCCTCCAGCTACGTAGCTATTTATGTTTTTCTAAGACTGCTTTGCTGCTTTGTTCTTGTTTGTTAGGTCTCAATTTAAAGATGTAACTACAGTTCTGTAGTTGAATTTTATTCATGTAACAGAAGCAAATGCTATGTTAAAAAGAAAAGAGCTCACATGAGAAAATCTGCAAGTCAGTACATATGCTGCACGGTATATTTGTAAATACTCAAATTATTTATCAGTAAGAAATAACTCAAACTTCAGAGTAAAGTTACCCACTGAAATGTTAACAATTATTCATTCTAATTAAAATTTTATCAAGTCACTTAACTGGCAGTTTGACAAATGTGGTTTAGTCGTGGATAAATCAGCATTAGTCTGCATTTTTCTTTTGGAATGCACACATTCCTCTCATAAGATACAGAAAAATACTGATTTCATACTGTCAAAGTCAAGTTAATTTAGAAACACCACAGAGCATTCCTTTCCATGTGCACTAGGAACATTTAATCAATCCTGCCTCATATGTTGTACTTCCCGTGGATTATTATATTACTGGCTAATTGCCAGCTGTGTTAGAATTCCTGAAAGCCAAGCCTTCTTAACTGTCCTCAGCATTAAATTCAAACAGCCTTCCTGCCACGGAGAGATTAACGAAAATATGAATGCAATACTCCATTTGAATTTCTATTACCATCTAGAAATTCAGGTCTGTTAGCTGTTATCTGTGTCACTGCCTTTCATCTACTTGATGTCTTCTTAAATCAATTATGTATTTACAACTCTAATAGCAAGTGATTGACAGAGTCTTGCAAAATGCTCGTAGCTAAATTAACTTCTTGGTGCAATCCTGCAGGAACCCCTTCTCAAGTTTCAGATACATTCAAAGTATAACAGCAGTTTACTGTAATAATATGCACTGAACAACTGCAGCAATTTCAATCCCAGTTTTGGGTACAAATGAGGAAAAAGCAAGAGAAAAAAAAAACAAGATGTTGTATTATTTATGGACTTACTGATGGATTTCTGAACTGATATTCTATGATACAAAATATCCTGATGCACAGTGACAGCTCAACACATCCCACACACAGCACATTTTTCATGTGGTTTACTTTAGCTACGAAGCACAATTGTCTGTAACCTAGTTCATCCATTAAGATAACTAAACCCCTCCCAGACCACAAGTTGAGACAGAGTCCACCACATCTCAGGTAACAGCTGCCTCTTACAATGACTCAATAACTTACAAGTGATCTAATCATACCCTGATTACATTTTGGATACTTTGCCCATAGAAATGCTCTGCTGATATACATACTTTCTTTCAACATTCCTTCAGTCAGCAATAGTCACAGGGTCACTGCCCACCTAAATGCCTTCACGTGGCACTACACAAAGAGAGTTAAGCACTCACATGTCCCAAACAAATCCTGGACAACACAGAATCCAAGAAGAGGATTCAAGAGTCCTTCCAAGAAAGGCACAACTTCATGGTTAGGGGTGTATCCTTGTTTTCAGTTCTGATGCAAGACATCTATCTAAAGGTGAGCTAAGCCTGGTCTGGAAAAATATTATATTCATAATGTGATTTCTGCAAAGGACAGAAGAAAGATAGCTCTCTTAACAACTGCTGCTCAAATAATCAAAACACAATCTTTTATGCCTGCAAGCAAACAATTTCACTCTTAGAAAAAGGAGAGGAGTGGAAACAGGCACAGAGTTCCAATAAAGCTTGCTGGACAAGCTTGTTGAAGTGGTTAGGCAACCCATTGAAAAACAGCAAACAAGAACCATGGATTAATGCCATGAAGGCAAATGCAATGGATTAACCTACATAGTGATACAAACAGTACATAGTGATAGAAACAGTAATTTTTCAAACCAGTACAACAATAACTGAAGCTTGTAACAATTTATTTAGATTTCTAATTGAACTTCATGATTGGAGCCAGAAAGCACAAGAAATTAGGACAGAATTAGCTGTAATCATGGAATATTTTTTATATGAGATGCTGCAAGGAGTACACAAATTCTTGGCTATAATCACCTTCCAGAAAACACAGTTAGAACTTTCTACAGCTCCACAGAAGCTCTTCTGTGAAATCCAGTAGAAACTCCCAGCCACATTTTGAATAGACAGTATTTGTCCCCCCTCAGGTATCAAGTTTTCAATACATAAAATTGGCAAGTCAGAGACATTCAAATCTCATGAATGGAATTTGTTAATATTCAAGCAGAAATTTGGTGGCATGATCATTTCTCAGAAGTTCTCAGTTCTTCGGCAGAGGAGCAGAATCCCTACTTGGTATCAAGAAAAACTCAAGAATTCAGATATTCCCCCCACTCCTCATATGTAATTTAATTTCCCACTAATTAAACATCATTCCATTGATCAGAAGCAAAGGAAATTCAGTCTCATTCTGTGGAAACTGAAGTTAACATAACACATTGGACTGATATCATCACCACCATTGACAGTAATTATTTCTACACATCCGTAGACCAGCCCACAGGCATTGCTTTTGTTTATTTTGTCCAGCACAGCAACTCAACCCAATTTGGACAGAACTATTTAACACTTGCATTGAAAATTTCTGAACTGCATGGATTTTGCTCCAAATAAATTAAAAATTCTTCTTGAGGTGGCCTCCTTCACAATTGTTTTCATGTCAGGTAACAGCTTTAGTCAACTTGCCAGTCAGAACAAGCTTACAAACGTTTTCTTAAGGCTAACAAAAAAACCCTCCCTCTCTTCAAATTAGCTAACATTACAGCAGTTATTAACTGATGTTTTTCAGAACCACATCAGCTCATTTAAGGGTTAACCAGTGGCAGCCTAAAGTTTACAACAGAAGCAACTGAACTGTTTTTGGCACAGCTTATTATAAATTGTGGCTCTAGGCTGCAACTGTCCCAAGACTGCCATTGATTATTCCAGACACGTTGTAAAACTACAGTCTCAGACTTGCCTCCCTATTTTAGTCCCCCCCCTCCTTTCTTTTCCCTTCTCATACTCCCTTTTGGCATAGTATACTTTAATGGTAGGCTGCCTCTTGTTCTGATTAATCACGGCAGCAAGAGAACAAATTAAAAAAAAAAAAGTTAATTGCTACCCTGCAAAATTATTAGTGCTGGAGCAATTCCACAGCATCAAGATAAACTCTGGCCATTCAGCATCTGCTATGAAAGAAAAGCTGCAGAAAAAATTAAGTGCTATTTAGGATCTCTCTCTTCGCACACAGACACACACACACACACACAGGCAGTCAGCATAACTTCAGGGAGACTTTCTCAATGATGAACTTTTGTTTGGAAATAATTTATCCACATGTCTGTTTTAGCAAATTGCATTTTCTGAACTGTCAGCAAAGGCAAAACTGAAAAAGACAAAAAATACCAGCTTCAGAATGAAAACGTATCTGGTGTTATCACCCAATCAGCTCTACAAAATACTTGTGGGTGCAATGACAAAGCAGGTATCATCATTTAAGCCACTCAGACTTGAAGTCTTTAATTTTTGTGAATTAGACTAAGGGCAAATCCTTGCAAGATGCCAATTTGTTTGTTTGGATGTTGCCTAGAATATTAGGAAGGTAATTTGCGACTGCTGTGATGAAGCTCTACGTAGCTGAACAGTCTTCTATCAAATTATATATATAAAAAAGGTAGAAAGGGATCTCCAGCAGCCACCTCGCCTTGTCACACCTCCTGTTCAAAGTATAGCTAAACTTTAAGTTAAATCATAATTAGTCCATGCCTCCATCAGTTGAATGCTTAAGTCTTGAGGGATAGACAGCACTTTCAAAGAGTAGCTTTGACTGTAAAGGTTCTGATACCATCCACATAGAAGATAAAACTAGTGCTGTTACAAGAAAAAAAAAGAAAAGCAAGCTTGTGCTCATCCCATAGATAAAATGAGATCAAGATAACTCAGATTATCTGAGGTGTAAGTGAAAGAAGTGATTCTGTAGGATGCTCACCAACTCAGTCTTTTTACCAGGCACAATATCCCATGGCCTTAAGATTTAGGGTGCCGTCACTTAGAGAAGGACAATGAATTATTAACAACATATTGCTCTGCACCACTCCCAAAATGTAAAATCTCCTTTGATTTCAAGCAACGCAGAAAGTTACATCTAGAAAAAATACTGGAGCAGCAGCCTATCTTTGGTTGCTGTAATTTTATTTGACTCAGATCTGCCACACCTAACAAAAATCAGAAGCATTAAAACTCTGCTATCACGAAGAACAGACAATCCAACGCCTAGCAACTCACAAAGCTACATCCAAATCTAGACTGATTCAGTAGCATTTGGGTCTTTCTATTTAAAATTGATATGTGTTTCATATACACTTGGTAAACAGTCCCTCAGTACTTAAAAGCATAAAGCAATTTTTCTCTTCAAGCTCTGTTCCCAAAAGATTGCAAAGATTCCAATTATCAGTCACAAGGAGTAAGCAGCAAAATAGAATAAGCTTTTCAATCTACTCCCTGCCATCTGGCTGCTTAAATAAAGGGGTTACCCCTGAGATTTTTTTTTTGTTTCCACCTATCTTAGAAGAAGAAAGCTGCAGACTACAAGAAAAAACTGAGTACAGTTGTCTGAAGGCTCCGTACAAAGCAGCTTCATTTGAAGATCAGTTTTGTAGATTTGCAAAATCTGAAGGTTTTGTTTTTCACTGTTTCACATATCTACTGAGACAACATCATGTAAGGACTATATTGCAATTACCAAATCAGGAGGAGAAAAAAAATCTGCATCTGCACAGTTATCTTGAAATACAGCACAGCTTGTTTATAACTGAGGTTTTATGAAGACAAAAAGAAACCAGAGCATCACAAGACAGAGCTGTTAAATAATCTCTATCTGGAATGTTCTAAGCAGTTCACAGCATTACAGCCATAAAATGTGGTAAGAGATCGGCTTCATGTATTTTTGAGTTTGCTTTCAGGTGGCTTTTATGTTTTGCTAATAAAAATCAAAAAGCAGAAGAAAAGCCAGCACTGAAAGACACTCAAGTTACTCTCAAGTTATTAATCACTTACTTGGTTTTGCTCATGTTAGCACACAAATATTTTTCAAGGCCTAATCTCTCCAAAATTCATTGGCAAGTCAGAACTAAGCACTCCTTACCTTCAGAACTGTTCTGGTATCTTCTCTACTAGATTGTCTGCCTACTTGAGTCACTCTGTATTCCAACCACTGATGAACCACTGCTTTCTCCTCTGCAGAACTTCCAAGCAGTTGCTCTTTCTTAGCCTGTTTAACTAAGTATGAAGCTATGGTAACTAATCCTGTCAGACCAGGACCGTTGTTTGTCTGCAGAACAGGAACCTAGGAAAAGGAAAAAATGTTGTAACGTTATAAAACTCATTCAAAAAAAAAAAAGACTCTGTGAGATTAACTATTATTTCTTTGTAGTCTCTCAGAAGACTCTTAAAAAACAATGTATCAATTTGTAAGCATTCAAGCTAAAAGTAATAACAAAGTGAAATATGCAAGTTGTATTTCTACTTTTTGGGGTGGTTTATTTTCAGTTTTTACAGATTACACATTCAGTGCACACTGGGCATCCCAGAACTCCTTCAGCTCAGTGCACATTTATCACAAAATAATCAAGCTGCACTAATATTAGCAGTAAGTAGAAGTGTTGTTCTGACACTGTCAGGAGACACTCACTGAACCATGATTTGTTTTCAGGTTCCAGGCTCCAACTTCAGTTTCCACTTTCCATCACGACAGCCTGACTTAGTGAAATACTTATACGCACTTCCTGTTCCATTGCCAAACAGCAGAACAAGCTATTAGTTCAGAGAGGACAACATAACACAAACCTCTAGCTTGAATTCCGTATCTGTTAGTGATGTTACCGCGTTCAAGTGATTTTAATTAATTGTCTCTGGGAAAAAGCATTAATAAATCTTTATAATAACAAAGCATAACGTGTCTTCAACAAAAAGGAGCATATCTTAAACATTTCAATATTTTTAACTACAGCAAATTAAAGATCCCTATTATTGTAAGAACTGATTATATTTAAGTTGTGAAACTAAATTGTATTTTATGAAGAAGCAGAAGAGAATCAGTGACACAGAATTTTTAAAGGCAACGTACTGGAGTTACAAAATCACTGTTCAAGAGCACAACTTCACAACATGGTCCTCATCACTGTTTCACAAGCACTGCTTCAAAGAGAAGCATCAAAACACATAAAACACTTAAAATTGAACACGTTATAGGCTTTGGGGGTACGGAAAAATGAGTAGCCAGTTTGCTTTGAGAAGCTCCTTCGGAACACACAATTAATAGAGCAAGTATTAACAATCTTTTACAGCAGGAAAGGAAACTCAACTACTAAGAATCAAAAATGAAATGAATGCAACTTCACTGCAACAGCCTAAAGTTTATTCACTCATTCATGGCATCACATGGTGCAAAGTTATCATTTCTTAAGGGTATCTTAGCACACAAAGGACACCATCTACCTTCAGATTTAGTGAATGTAATAAGATGTAAGTTTAATATACAGCATTTAATCTGCAGTTCTGCCTGGAGTCCTTGACTATGCATTTTTTTCACTGAACACATGATCAGGAAAAGTGATGGACAGCCAGATTTCATGACTCACACCTTCAGAGTAATGCCAGTCATGGCACTGAAACATCACTCAAATTGTTAACTAAGGAAGCTTACTACTTGAAAGCAAGGAATGCAGATGTGGATATCAAGCACTGTAATCATAAACAGTAAATTAAGTGAAGGAAAAACAACACGTACAAAAGCAGAAGGGAACTGCACAGTTTGCTTTTCTCTGGTATTCTTCTCAGAGAAGAGCCTGCAAAGGCTCCCAGACATCTGCCCTTCCCCTGCTCCCCACACTATTTCCCTCAAGCCCCCGTTGCCTTTCAAGCTGCAGAACGTAACGCTTTGCTGCAAGCTTCAAGATACTGAGACATCGACTTTAATTCGAGCAGAATTTTAAAGCGCAAATCCCTTTTCCTCAGATGCATTTCTAACATCGAAATCCTACCCTTTACCTCACCACGTCAGCACAGATATAACCGCACTGACACCAGGGAAACGCAGGCACAAGGAGAGCGCCGCATGAGTTAAGCCGACGTGTCTCCACGAGGCACAGTAAGACTTTTAACCCAGAGGGAGAAGCTCCCTGGACGTGCGGGCGACAGCGATCCGCCACAGCGAGAGGAGAGCGGTGAAAAAAGGCGATGGAGAGGAGATGACGGCGCAGGACGGGGATAGCTGAGGGAAAGGACACCCGCGCGCCACTGCCCGCTCCCGGCCCGGGCCCCTCCTGGCTCCCTTCACCTGCCGCTCCCCCTGGGCGCCGTACTTGTTCCCGCTCTGCAGGCCCAGCGCCTTCTCCAGTAAGGCCAGCTCATCCGTTACCGGCCCCAGCCGCGCGGCGGCCGCCATCTTCCTCAGAGAAGCACCTGGTCGGAAAGGACCGGCCGCAGCCGCCACCTGCCAACAACCGCTAATCCCATTGGAGAACACGCCACCACACCTCCTCAACAACCGTTGTTGCCATTGGGCTGAAGGACTCAGCCGACCAATCAGACGCTCGGATCAGTCCACTCTTGCGAGGAGCCAATCCGAGTTTTGAAACCTCGGGAGAAGCGAGGGAGGTTCCACGGTTCGCTGAGTGCGCATGCGCAAAGGACGCCCGCGCGCAGAGGTGGGCACGCCTCATTTTGTAGATTGCGCATGCGTGGAGGGCGGGGACACACGGCCAGGGTGTGACGTCCGGTGCTGGGCGGGGCTGTGGTTGTGCGCGGGGTGGAAGGCGGGTAGGGGAGGTTGGAAGGCTGTTGGGTTGCGTGGCGCTGCGCGGAGCCGCGCTTGGCGTTTGTCTGTTTGTACGGGTGCGCGTTCAGTGCGGCACGAGGCGCGGCCTCGTCCTTAAGCGAGAGTGGATCCGTGGTTGCTCCTCTGAAAGAGGCAAACGGAGAAAAACAAGCAGCGCTGAAACATTCATAGGGTCACAGAATCACAGAATGGCCTGGCTTGAAAAGGACCACAATGATCACCTAGTTTCAAATCCCCTGCTACATGCAGGGTCACCAACCAGCAGACCAGGCTGCCCAGAGCCACATCCAGCCTGGCCTTGAATGCCTCCAGGGATGGGGCATCCACAACCTCCTTGGGCAACCTGTTCCAGATTCATAACTGAATCTAGTGTTCAGACCATCGTCATCAGCTGGCCATTCGGCATCTCAATATAATGGCAATACCAGCTTGGAGAATCCCATTTTCAGTATCACGTCAGCCCAGTCCATTGCTGTGGCAGTGGGTTTCTCAGCTGCATGGATCTGTTAGTCAAGCTGTGGTGTGCTGTCTGGGAATATCATGAGATTAACTAGACAGAACACGTCTCTCAGTCTGGCTTCATAAAAGTACAGGGATGATGAAGTGGCACCGCCTGCCCCTCTATGTACAGGGCCTGTCTTCCACCCTGGGACTCACAAACCTGTTGTTGAGCTGCAGCCAAATTTACTGGAAAAGCTGACATTTCAGTTAGATTACTAAAGATTTTGTGAGGTGAATGCAGGGAAATCGCTTGGGCACTGTGCGTGCTGGTCAAGGGCATCCAAAGAAGAGGATGCAGAGCTTGTCACCACCTGGCCTGACTAAATACCATATTTAAGATTCGTTAAAGGTGTGGTTTAATCACCTTTCTAACGGAAGATATTCTGCTGCAAATACCACATCTCCATATCTGATCATAAATGTTAGAAATTAAAACAATTTTTGATTGACAGACATATTTGTCCAGCATACCAAAGTGCCATTCTTGATAGAAGACTTCGATACCAAGCCGATGTTTTTACTAAAAACAATGAGCTGATCTTGTAGAGATCAGAGAATTTCAAAGCAGAGGCTCGGGGCGATGGCTGTGTTCATCATCTTGAATAAGATGATCCTGACAAGTGTCCTGGTTCCTCACGGAAACGCTTGTCTTGATACAAGGCGACACTTAGATCTGTACCTTCTGTTGCAGAAAAAGTCCGCAAGTGGCCACGGAGCCTTCATCTGAGTGAGGAGCAGTTCTGAATGCACCGGTGGGTTTTTCTACTTTTGCAGAAATTTGTCTGCTCTTTTATATTAACGTCTGCAAAGCACTTCAAGATTTGAAAAAAGAGTTGTGCTGCCTTGAACACGGCATCGCTTTTCGGTGTCGTTCTCCAGCTTGTTTCCTGGAACTATATTTTGCAGTGCCAGAGTTCCAGCTGCGTTCCAGTGGGAGGCCAGTAAATGATCAAAAATTGTATAGAACACCTTAATTTTAGTGGTAATTTGATCTAGACATTTCATTGATTTTTTAAAAAGCCACTTGATTGGTTGAGACTCTCTAAATCCACAAAGAAGAAAAGATTTCGTTTTCCAACATCTGAAAATTAACCACCAATCTTTATGTGTATTTACCCTCTTCACACATATTTACCATCACTTTGCGTGCTTGTAATTTTTAAACTATTATAACAAAAGTTAAGATATTACATCAGTGTGAAATTTATCAGTGGGTTGAAATATCTATCAGTAGCAATAAAAAGAAGGCTTCGATTTTGGTCAGATTAAAAGATAAAGCTATTTTGTGTAGCTTTCATACCACTGCAAAGTTTTAATGTCCTTGGAAAGGGAGACTAAAATTAGGTAGAGGAGATAAACCGCTCATGGTTTCGTAGCATTTTTCCCTTGATAATACTATTTAGCAGCTTCTGCGTTCCTTTTTCTCTACAATTCTCTCCTGGCTCCATTAGGTGGAGCTTTATGATTAAGACTGGGGAAGAAACTTGCTTCCGAGTCCAAAATAATTCACCACAGAAAGGCTGGGGGAGGAGGCGAATGAAGTGTACTTTGCTTAGAGGTATCAGTGTCCTGTATGCGGGCTTGATACACTAAAATCTGAATCAAGACCCTTGCTCACAAGGAAAATAACTTGAAAGATCGATTCTGTCAAATGAAACGCAGCTCTAATCTGCTGTTATCATAGTCAAGTCCTAAATCTAAAATACCCTAGGTTATAAATTAAATGTCAAATATAATTAATTTGGCACTTGAAACATGAAGTGGATGACTGTCCTTTAGAGAAAGCCTGACAGCTTTATGTATGTCACATTGGTATCTGTTAAAATGAGCTTTACATGCCAGATGATCCTTGTGTGAATCATATTGCTGTTGGCTGTACCAGAATTTTGTCAATGTAATAAGTCTCAGAAGAGTGTTCCCCCTAATTGTCTTAAGCTTTTGCAAGACAATATAAATCAAGTGTCATCTGCCTCTTCTATGCAAAATAATGGTTTTATCAGACATGAAATAAGCAATTTATTCGTTATTCATTACTAAAGAAGACACTCTTCAATATTTACATATGAATCTATTTTTTATACAAACAGAGAATGTTTTCTGCCCCGTGCTTCAGACCCACTGCAGTTACAATTTGATTACATTCCCTCCCCCCAGTGATATTTGGCAACTGCAGTGGAAGTCCCAGATACCTTTCAACATGCAGATCCCAGCAATGGCTGCATGCTCTGCTCCCTCCCCAGCCCCTGCCCCTTGTACACCTTTCTCTCTGTGCCTCAGACCAGAAATGAAAACTTCTTTCCTCGCTTCTTGCATTTTCTGACCCTGCTTTGCACAATGAACCACGTGCATCTTAATGCTTGTTTATTCACAGGTACCCCTGGGGAAGAGGAGAAGGCAGGTTTGCCCTACAGACACTTATACACAGCTGTTGAAATAAAAATATTGATAAACCACATTATTTCCCACTTAATATGACTGGTAGGACCTTCCTAATCCAGACCTCATAAAAATTCTGCAAGCAAAGATTTTTTAGCAGAGTGCTGCAGTGAGGTTTCATTGCTGTAGTTTCACTATTAATTTTCTAAATACAAATGGGCTAAATGTTTGTGACTGATAACCTTTATACTGCTGGATCTACAGCCTACGCAAGCTCTGTTTCTTTAGATGAAGTGCAAAGTAGAGGCTGAGAACTCAGTACTGTTTTTCCACCAGTGGAAAAGAGGGGAACGTGTGCAGCACAACTGGAAGCTCCACACTTGTTCCTGGTCCCTGTGGCAGCCATATGAAGCCAAACGAAAATGGGTATTTGTAAAGTTCTCTTGGAAAACCAAACACGTGAAAAGAATGATTCATGAAACAGCTACCTCTCCTTTTATTCTCTTTTCACAGCCCTGTGCTGTACAACAGAAACATGAGCCCCCGGTCCATGTTAAAATTTAGCCGATGTTATATGTTTCAGGGAGGAAAAAATAAACCAACACAACTTAGAAGTAATATGTGAAACCTAAAAAGCACAATAGTTTTGTCTTTTTGTCTCATTTCTACTAGGTTACACTGACACAGGGACTTCTAGTCCAAAGCTTTTTTGCAGGCAATGACTCAGAGCTGTGTCTGTTCCAGCAGCCAGCAGTTGATTTCAGCCAAGGTGCGTACTGGGAACAGGGGAAGTTGCCATGATATTGCTGCTGTGAGAATGCAGCACCAAAAGTAGGGCAAGGGAGATTTGTCACACTCCTGAGAAGACTGATCAGATGCACGTGTGTCTTAATTTAGTGAAAAATGCATGTTTCTATTCATTGAAGTGACAACAAGATCCATCACCAACCATTACAAAACTGACTTAATTATTTTTGTGTTCTTTTTAGTGGAAGATGACTGGTTTGTGCCCAGTCAGTGCAGGACACTGCAGGGTTTTAAGTGTTGTCTTATTGCAAGGCAGTGCCGGATCCAGAGTCTGTACAGCTGCATCACTGCAGTACTGCATAGAAGCTAATTAGCCCAGGTAGGAGGCAATTAGCTCCATGCTGCTGAGCCTGTTTTTATTGTGTTCCCAGAGCTGACACAGTCATTCACAGCTCAGGGACCTCTGTCCTTGGTCTGCTATAGGCATGTCTCTGAGTGGATCTCAGAAGTGTTGTGACTTGGCTTCGAGGTTAAACAACTGTTGAATGTGGGTGTGAGTTTGGGTTTGATAATTCCAAAATAATTCTTAATAATTTCTGTGGTTTGGAGACAATTCAATGAAGAATATGCATATACTGTATTTATTAAAAAAAAAAAAGACAAATTATTTAAAAAGTCATCGAAGTATTTTTGTGAGAAAGTAATTTGATTGCTCAGTAAGATGAGTGTCAGCTCTTAGGCACCAAGTATCACAGATTTCCACAAGACTGAAACTCTGTGTGGCACAGGACCAGTTTTGTTCAGTGTCTGTGCGTACTAAGCGTGAGCAGCTCTGCTCCAGATAGACTGCTAAACAGATTAAAGAGCTAAAAGCTAAAAAGCTAAATGTAGACTTAGAACTCAAGTTTTCAGTGGCTTGTCTTGTGTTAACGGGGTACAATTGGCTGTGGAAAATGTAAACTGCTTCTTTTGCAGCTAAAAGAGGTAAGCTGGGTTTTGTCTGTTGTGTTTTTGAAAGCAATGCGATCACTGCAACCGAAT